TTTTTTTTTTTTTTTTTTTTTTTTTTTTTTTTTTTTTTTTTTTAAACCTACTAAATAAAGAAAGAAAGAAACAAGAAAACAACCATTACGTAAACTCAAAAATGTAAATCTGTGTATATACAAAAATAAGATAAAAAGAAAAGGAAAGATATAATAATACCATAAACGCGTAAATCACCAATAAACATGCATTATCAACAAATTTCAAATATACGCATGATAATGATATTATTCGTGAATTTACTTTCATATATATATATATTTATATATATATATATATATATACGTATAAAGAAAAATCCTACCTTCGAATTACCTAATCCACAAAAGATATTTCCAAAATAATTCCTAATAATACTGATGCGTGACTCGTCGAAATTCAAGATTTATATTCCACGAGTATTTTAAAATTATATAAATTTAAGTATAAAGAGACTAATAAAAAAAAAAAAAAAAAGAAATTAGTTATATACATGTGTATATATAAAAACAAAACTAAACAAAAAAAAAAAAAAAAAAAAAAAAAAAAAATCTACAAAGTTCATGCGAGAAAAAAACCAGCACAAACAATGCCCCCTTATTATATATTGTTTAATTCAATCTGCTGCATAGTTGCGATCACGGTTTGTTGATAACTGTTAATAATAAATATTATTACTCTGTTGAGAGCTGTCGATTGGCTGTATATTGCAATGTATGCATGTGAAAAATATATCATGTACGAGCTATGTCATTGCACATTGCGCTGCAATAATAAAGTAAATATAATTCTCTGTAAGAATATAATATTGTTGTAAATATCTGTAGTCTGTATAACACTGTATAGCATTAAATAAAACAACAAGTATCCGGCTGCAGAATTATCAGTACGAGGTGGGATGGCTGCTCCACCTACGGCATATTTTTTAGTCATTTCCCCCTTATTAACGTTCATCATCTTTATATGATGAATAGGCACGGGATATTATATGTAAACTAGTCTCCCAAACCTATGTACACGGTTTAATAATCGTATCGATGATAGTCGAGTAAGATACGACCTATATAAACTTTTCATTTACGCACAGAAATAAAAGTGTAATGCGGTTAAACGTTGCGCATTCGATGACAACGCACTTTCGTTTAGTATTGCAATTCCGTACGTCATTTTTTAAATAATTTCGAATTACGTATTACACCCGTGCCTCATCTTGCACAGTAGTTAGTTTCTGATCACCTAAATACAGAATCAGCCTTGTATCGTAACGTTATTTCTATCTATACTTGTCGATCAACTGTAAAGATACGTTTCCTATTGAATCACAAGTTCACTAAATAATAAATTTTAACTTGACTTCATCTCGCTTCTTCTCTATATATCACAAAATGATACTGGGAAATACAATAAAAATAAATAAAAACCTATACATTAGTTATACGAAGCATCGAACTGCAATATTCCGCTCGCAAAATGCTTCGTATCACCAATTTGAGCAACCTCTACGGAATAAGAATTATCCCCGGCCTGTGCCTGGTAAGCTCTCAGCTTTGGTTCTACGGCATTACCACTTCCGCTCCCCCCGGTATCTTCCACGGGAAGACGAGAGAGCGGAGCAGAAGCGGTCAAGAGCACTTTGTTATCCACCTGAGCTTGCGTTTGAGCCTGAATTTGAGCCTGTGTTTGAGCCTGAACTTGTGTCTGTGTTTGAGCCTGAGCTCCACCCTGAACCTGTGCTTGACCGCCCTGTCCTTGAACCTGAACTTTAACCTGATGATGGTAGATTTCCTCCTGACGTTGCCTGTCCGCCACACTGAGTTCGTGGAAACTGACCAGGTGACGCTTGAGGTACAGCTTGGTCTTGAAGGGCTTGTTACATAGAGGGCATGTGACACTCTGAGGGTTGTGGATGAGGCGCATGTGCTGCCGCAGGTTGGACAAGTTACTGTACATGCGGTTGCACACAGGACAGGGGCGTGGGTCCAGCGAGTGCAGTTTACGCAGGTCAGCTGCAACACACACACAACTTGCTCTAACCGGTAGCAGCCCACAGCATAACACGTTACCATAGCATAGCACCACGCTTTATTCACACCATGAATAATATCAAAATGATACCACCCACCACAGGACAGCAACAACCAGCAAAAACCCTATTTAGCACTACCCAAATTTGCTGCCTGCACGGTACATGTATAATGTAAATCCTGCAAGATAGCAACTTGCAAGGATATAATGAATCGAATCATAGATAACATAACGATATTGTGGTAAGGGAAAACACATAGTTTGAAAACAATGGTAAGCATGGATCAGCGAATAATGATAATCCGTTAGGAATAATGGTCTTGGCCTTGTGAACTGTTTCATGGTATGGTGGACTCGTGCATGTTACACAGAAAATCAGACTTTTTATATGCATTAATACTGTTAACCATTAAATGAGTTATAAATCTATCTCGATAATCGTAATAAAGATTATTTTTATCTCGTTTTTAATCAATGATAATGGAAACTTTAATTGAATTTATTATTTTCGCAACAAATAAAAATTGGACGATATAACTACAATAGAGAGTAGTGCTCTTGCACAATCAAAATATCTTAGTATAACTCTGTGCGTGTATTTTAACTAGTTATCAAATAATCATTGCATTTTCTTTAAGAAAACTCAATGCAGAAATATATAGTGCACGAAACGAAAGGTATATAAAAGTAATTTATCATTTCAAATCAAAGCAATATGTACATAGCACATTTATATAACCGACCGAGATCGTAAATATGATCTTTATATCATTAGTAAACAAGAAAGCAAATGATGCTGGTGATAGCAAGATGGTTCTCGTTGACGAAGTTACTGGAGCATTAAATTTAACAAGAAGCACTTACTCGTCAGAGTCTGAATGCAGCGTTAAAGGTGTAGTACTAATATATAATGTATATACGCATATATACGCGATGCATATATACGCGCGTGAAAGCATGAGAACAAAAAAATTATGAAGCTTATTGGGATGGGTATTTTTAATTATGTACACGCAGGACATTGTTGTTAATGGTATTCGGGCTATATCGGTAACGTTCATACAATACAGCTGATTAACTGCAAACTGCACTCTGTGGACTTTGGGCCTATTTTAGCCTCTGAGTGTCAAATGTCTCCTACCACCTACCAAGACCTACCGAGCTACACACGAGCTTACCATTTCAAACGATCAAGATTCCTTTCTCCTTCCTTGCTTCTACTCTCATTATACAGTTCTGATGTAATGGCTAGGTTGTTGCTGTTTGTAATGGTGCTCGCACTACCAAAAAAGTATAAATCATAGACTCACCTTGCTGCTCTTGATTCAGCTCATTGTTCCCATGTGAAGGTCCAGGCATGCCACCTTCCATACTGGTTCCTAAAACAAATCTATCTTATAATATCTTCCTTTTCATTTCTTTACTTTTTCAATAAATTCCTTATTTATTTACAACATAAACAACAACAGTGACAATAAAATTTATACCTTGAAAAGATGGTGGATATGTCGGTAATACTTCCATACCACCATCCAAACTAAGGAAACCACCAGGTATCGCGTTAACTTCTTGTTTTGATGAGCAATCATCATCACTGCCATATTCAGGTAGTTCTACTTTTGGCTAAAATGATAATATATGTATAGGACGTAAGATATTACGAGAAAAATAATTAAATTTAATAAAAAATAACAAGTATCAATAATTACCTCCACAATATCAATATCCTTATAACAATCAAGCTGAACTTGCGGCTCTATGAGCGGTCGTGAGAGAGGTGTACTGCTAGCGCAAGGCGTCACAGTAGGTATTGGACTAGAGATTTGAGGTGAATCACTTCTTTTACACAGCCTTTTTAATGGTGGAGGGCTCGATGGTGGTGGAGTTTTACTGCGCTCATCGTCCAAGCTCGGTGAGATCAGACCACGGCCATTTGATGCGTGAACATTATTCGTCTTCAAGTGCTAAATATTTTAATATAAGATTTAAATTATAGATACACTTTTGTCCTTTTTAAATATAACCAAATACTATCACATTATATTAATATACCTTTTCGTTGTTGTGCTGACTACTTTGAGAGTCGGTGAGACCACGGATTTGTAGAGATTCAGCTGTACGCAGAAAAGTAGGCAATTCAGCTTGTGAAATGTTTACTTCACCGGCGTACATGAACTCCAGCAGTGATTGTAGATGTTCAAATTCCACATCCCGCATAAAAATTATCGGATGTTTGCAAGGATTGGTCTAGAAAAAATCAACCATATAACTAAATTGTTACCAACATTATTTTCTTCTTCTAGTAGGTATACAATATCTTAATAGCAACTGAAAATATTTCAAATATGCTTTATCATAAATATTAATAGTCATGCCTTAGATAGGAGGAAAGTTATATGTTAAATATTTTAATATTCTTTTATTTTATATTTGCATGTCTTATAAAAAGAAAAAATCAATAATAGCAATAATAATAATAATAATAATAATAAAAATAATAATAATAATAATAATTTCGTTCTTTCATATCTCGTATAAAAGCAATTAATTAAAACAAACAGAAAAGCGTGAACCTAATTAATTTTCAATAATTGTAAAGGAAATTAAACGAGGACAGAAAAAAAAAATTCCCACTTGTAATTAAATATTTGCATATATACGCGGGCGTGCAGTATATTTGGTAGTTAATCAGTTAATTGTGCGTGAAAAGAGAAAATGAAAAGGAAGAGAGGAGAAGAGAGGAATGAGATAGAGCGAGAGAGAGAGAGAGAGAAAAAAAAATAAAAGAAAAATAACAAAAGGACATCTGCATCGGCATCGCATACGTTCTGCACATAGTGCGTTATGATGATGGCTACAAATTCGAGAGCTGAAAACGTGTCGGGGAGATAAGAAATAAAGAGAGAGAGAGAGAGAGAGAGAGAGAGAAAAAAGCGGCTGGGACACGTCGCGCAAATAGGTATTGTGTAATTTTGGAATTATTAACGGTCGGACGAAGCGACTAAAATGCATATTACGTGCGCATACGAGCGGAGCAGCGGCGGCACATATAGAAAGATGAAAAAGAGAGATGGGAGATGAGAGAAGGTGGGAGGAAGAGAGAGACAGAAAGATAGAAGGAGGAATCGAAAACGTGTGTTAGGAAGAAGAGGAAAAGGAGGGGAAGGGGAGGGGGAGTAGCGTGCATGCGAGAGAGAGAGAGAGTGAGTGAGAGAGAGAGAGGGGAAAGAAGCAGGTGAGCGAGAGAGAGAGATGGAAGAGGGGTTGCGGGGGTGAAGGAAGGAGGAGGGGATAAGGAAGAAAAGTAGGGTGGGGAGCGGGAAGAAACGGTTTTCTAACCTTGAACAACTCCTTGAAGTAAGGGCTGCAAGCGGATAGGACGACCTTGTGAGCCTGAAGTCGCCTGCCATCGCAGGCGAAGGTAACGTCGACGAAGTCTTCATCATCTCGCAACGCCTCGAACTGGCTCGTGATGTTCGCCTGAAAGTTGTTCCACCGCAAGCAAAACTGCTGCTGGCTATCCGTCATTCTCTATTTCACTCGACTCCCTCAACAACACCTGTGATCACACATCGAGGGAAGGTTGTGGGTAACTTAGTGTACCGTACGGCTATCTAAACTTAACTCTCTCATTACTGTAAAAATGTAAAATGTAAAAAGTGAATCGATGACTGAAGAGGAAACGTACGATATAAATAATGACAATCGATATCCAGGTTGCCATCCGCGAGGGAGAAAAATTCTCTAGCGTGGAGCCGCGCATACGCCGCCACTTTTCCCATTGCCGCAAGGACGTATTCGTGTATCTATGTGCTATGTATCTATGTGTATATGCATATATATAGATATATGTATGTATGTAATTTAGATGTATGCTAACAGAAACGTTTCATCGTCGTGTGTTTCTCTCGCGTCATTCACACACCACTACGTTACCCACCGACGATTACGAATATGTTATAACGTCGACGACGACGATGACACGACGACTACCACTACCACTACCATTACTGCACTCACACGCAAGCGCATCACGCGGAATAACACTATCAAAAACCTTTCACGATTGTGTAGTAGCAATCGAACATAGCATGTAATGGTTTGGTGGTGGTAGTGATGGCGGTGAGGGAGATGTATGATGGTGTAGGAGGAGCGTGCGCGTCCAACCACCCAATCCTCTACAACACTACAAACGCATAACCCCCAGAGGAAAAAAAGAATACTTATTCTATGGTTTATTCGTACGGATTAACGAGGAACGACCGACAGCGCCGGCTCTATTTCGCGCCATGTTTGCATTGCCGAATTTCCGTTAGGACCAATGATTTCTCCTCCTCTCTTGCTATTACCAACGTCGAATACTAAAATATCTCTAAACGACTATTTTATTTTACATGACAACATATCCTAATAAAAACCAGATCGTATATCTTAACTTTCTACGATATTAAGTAAATTCGATTAAAATCTTAACACAAATTTCGAATGACCTAACCTAAATATAAATAAAATATATCGACGATACAAATGACTCGAATATCCTGCGTATCTTATTTATTTATTATATATTTTGTTATAAATATATAAATTAAAAATGATCTCTTACGTATAAATGTAACATGAGTTAGTAAAAGAAAGACTATGCAACATACATGACACTCTACCCATCATAAAAATTCCTACCACTCACGCGAATGGATGCATCGTGCAACGATCCAGGATTGGCCCGAACAGGACCAATCAGCGTAAGCTAATATCAACTTGCAATATAGAAAAGCACGAATAGGCTCATAGTAAGCGCGGAAAGAGTGTTCGTCGGCTGTTATTTAAAATAAATTCGAACTTATACGTGAATCCGAGTGCAGCGCCATGAACAAATGAAAGAAAGAAAAGGAAACCCGCTAAGAAGATCTTTTTCGCGGTGCGATAGAAATGATCCTATATTTAACGCGAGTTTTTAATTCATTGTCAGCCGTGCAGTTAACATTACCCTCTCCTACTGTCGAGAAAACACGAGCTATTTTTTCTTCTTCTTTCTCTTGTCTCACATAGAAATACACGAGTAAAGTTTGTTCGTGTCAGAAGAAGTAAGAAAAATAACAAGAGGAAAAAGAAGAAGAAACGTCCAATGTAGTGACTAAACTTGTCCTTCTCTTTATAAATACATATATATATAKACACACATACAAGTTATACATATATACGGCCATATATACGTGTTCGTCGTCTCTTGTTACGCGAGTGCGCGAGTCGTGCTGTCGGTTGGAGAGTTTGATAATAAAAGTCTGATGGCAGTCGTGTGACGGTGCATCTCGGGTGATTTTATCCCGACTATCAACAAATCTTTCATTCCTGACGAGAATGTACGAATACAGGGAAAAGTGCAAGGTGATTCAGTGTTATCTATATCTACATATACATTATATATATGAATTGTGTATGTGTGTGTGAATTTGCGTGGGTGGTTGATACGCGTATGTATGTGTGAGAGAAAGAAAAGGACATGGACCGAGTCTATTCTCTCGTCCTTCCATGATCCTTTTCTTTAACCCTAATAAAACGATTCTTTACCTAGACATTTAACCTAACCTATCTATCTATCTGTCTGTCTATCTGTCTATTTCTTTCTTTTATTCTTGTTGGCTTGTATCAGTCAATCCTTGGAAAATTAAAATAAGATCAACGACCATGTAAGTGTTTTCAGAAAATCAATGTTAGACAAGTAACGACACAACTATCGGTTTCGAGGAAGAACGAACGAACGTGTGTGTGTCAGAGAGAGAGAAAGAATATCGCGCTGCAGTTTTAACCTAATTTTGTAGTTCGTATGGAGACGCAAGGAACTCCAATCGATAGATTTAAAGGAGCAGAGTGACACAAACGACCTCGATCCTACCGACCACTAGGATTATTCCAACGTCCTCCTCCTACCCCGGTAATTTAGTGACATTTTTTTAATTTTATCTTTTCACAAGACAGATATTTTTAAACTTCTAATTGAAATATTTATTTTAAACGTGATCAACGCGATCCTACTCCATACCCACTTATTATTACATTCGCACGCGACTTTGATTCATGCCAACAAACAGCTGATCTAATCTTTTTACCGATCGTTCGTTTCATCATTTTCGTATCTTTCTCTTATCCCTACTCCTTATTTCGTTTTTTTCTTCCAATTTTTATTTTCATATACGATTGATATCAAGATTACAAGTATACACTTGTCGGGAGAACTTTCCTGTCGATTCTTTCAATGATATCTAATATGTACTTTGCACTTCTTCTTTCAATATGACATAATAACTTTTTACCAGTGTTTTCATACTATACTTCATTTCCTTTCAATGATAGAAAATCTCATTTTCTCATCGTTGAGATTAAGAGAGTTTGTATTTATAAGTTTCTACGATGTTTATTTCATGTAATAACTTTTCATTGTATTATATGAAAATATACTTCTCAATTTCTCTCTTTGATAGAAATTCAGATTCTCTTTCTGAAATGTTACATTTTGTTTACTCTTTTTGATATTTTTTAAAGAATTTTAATTCATTCGTTTCTACGATATTTATGTAATGGTAACATTTAATTGTAGTTTTCATATTATAGTTAAATATTTCCTCTTCAATTGTGTTTCTATAGATTACTTTCTCTCTCTTAAGTATTTTATGATAATAAATTAAATTCACTATTGTTTTTATATTGTAGGTTATGTTTGTACTTCAATAGAATCTTAGATTTATGTTCTTTGATATTTCATATATTAATTCTGTTTGATATTCATTAAAAAATTTGATTTATGAATGTCTATGTCATATCATCAAAAATATACTTGTTTAGCAAGAAAAGCAATTGTTAGAGACTGAATGTGTGTGTGAATCATCAAATAAGTTTTATCATTGCTGAAACTTTTTTAAAACATTCTAACTAGTAAATAGATTCATAAAGTTAATTCTTAGACTTACTTGATATCACTTGTAAATAAACAAAAATAGCATTATTTAATAATCATTATCTTTTCCATTTCAGTGTACTTACAACGCCTTTGGCTGGTGATCGTGGTGGTTTCCCTAGTGGAAACCAGAAATTTGATACTACGTCACGGTGAGTTTAAGAAAACTACAATTATTATATTTCTAGAATGACAATACTTAACGAAGGATCATAAACAAATTAAGGAGACATACTAATGTTTAAAAAAAGAGTTGTTTCAGTACTACTATGGAATCATTTCATTCGATAACATTCTACTTTCTTATTTCATTCGATAACAACGTATCAATAATTATCACCGTTTCTAAACTTTTTCTTATACGCATACATAATCTGAATGATAATTGACATACATTCAATCGGTTAAAGAGTACGTATAAAAATAAGAATAATAATTACTCATTAAATTGGTGTATCTATTGAACAATTATATCGTTTGAAGAAGATGATAGAAATGAATCGTCTTTACTACCTTGAATTTTTTTTTTGATTCCCCTTGTAAATATGAAAAAGTTCAACGAGCCAACCGGTTTGACGTTTTCACACAGAACTCACAGAAAAATTCAAACGTTTTAGCGGCAATCCAAGTAGAAGCACCATAGAGTACTGAAATGACTACATAGCTATTGTATCATAAGAGGTACGAACATTACCTTAATCTTGGTAGGAGTCAAGCAGGCTTAGCAATGTACAGTCCAACGAAAAAGTAGCTTTTGTATATCAGCCGGTAAGAAATAAAAAAGATTAAGAGAGAGAGAGAGAGAGAGGAAGAGATAGATGTGACAAAGGTTGAACTATCCAAGTGATGTCATTCTCAACTTAGTAGTTGGATCTCTAGAAAAAGAAGAAAAAAGAACAGATTAAACAAAACAAGAAGAATAATTAATTAATTAGAAAATGAATGAGTTATATCGAACAAATTTTCATTACCTAATATGTACCTCTAATATCTTATTTTATTTATTTATTTATTTATTTAGAAAATATATGATTCAACCCATTGCATCTGAAAGTTTATTCAAACTGATTACTTAGAAGAATAAATGTATTTATTATAATTGCTTTTTACTATATTACGAACTGTGTAAATGATTTATATTGTAATTAAAAATGTGTTCTAGATTTTAAAGACAAAATTTGAAATGTCTCATCTCCAGAGTTTTCAAATGCAAAGATTTGAAAAAAGAAAAGCAATAATGTAAAAGTATGAAAAATAAACTGAGAAAGCAAATAGTATATGCACCGTATCTTGAATTAAATAAATAATAATATAAAAAGAAATATAATACATCTCGATATTGCATATCATGTATATGGTGTCCCAAAAATCGTTTTATCGAATAAAGAGAAAACAAAATAATAAAAAACCAATATCGTCATATTACTAGAATTACAATATTTGTTTTTTTTTTTTTTTTTTTTTTTTTTACAAATAAAAATCACTGCTAACAATCTGGTTGTTGCCCCACGATGCTGTAATTTAAAATGCTCGTTAAATAAATTGTATAATTTTTCAATCTCGATAAAACGATTTCTTGAGGGATACCACCTTATATTATTATTATTTATGCAAGTGTATATTTGTGTCTTTTGTATGATAGGAAATTATCGGTTTTTATTGAGATTGTACTTGGTATATTATCAACGGATATCTAACGATAAGAGGAGAACCCATATTGGCTTAGACCATCGACAGGTATACTTAACATACAAAACTATATATACGTGTTCAGTTGAAATCGCAAGAATCATCAGTGCCTCGTATCTTTCCGAGACTTTTTAACATTTTTCAATTCTTTTTCTTTTTTTTTTTCTTATCATTTCTTTTTTCTTTCTATCTGTTAAATCGAATAATATAACAGAGGGCGTTATAAATAAGATATTCAACGATAGGTTGATATAAGATTGATTATACACGACGACAATCGTGAAATTTATTTTAGTGAGAAACGTACTAACATACTGTGCTCTTATTGTGTGGTGTACTTTAATTAAATTGAATAATTAAGTCGATGATAATAATATTTTGTGTGAATAGGATAGTGACAAAAAGAAAGAAAAAAAAAATACTTCAAATAAATAAATAAATTCAAACGAATTTTTCTTTTTTGATTTGCGAAATGTTGCTCCGAGGTATAGCATTTGCCGAAGTTAGAAGAAATTCGGCTAGAAGGGTTTTCAAGGGTCGCGACAAAGCACAAAATTCAACCTGTGAAAAGGAAGGAAATGAAATTTCCAATGAA